TCCAGAAAACACATCTTGGGTTACAGATAAGATTCAATACACAACACTGCCCGGGTAGCAACGTTGTTAAAGAACTGAACTTATTTTTATTTTATTTTCCATAAAAAAAAAGAAAGAGCTTTGTTTCATTTTTCTTGTATTTTATTTTTCCACATTTGTAAATAACGTTGTTTCTAAATGTGTTGTGAAGCAATAAAATAATCAGTTCAGTATTCAGTTAGTGTAACATCATTACTCTTGGCAGAACCTAGAGGATGTTTAGTGCCGGGTCCCTACTGGTCCACTTCAAGTGCACTTAAACTTCTAACAATTTATAATTTGAGCAACATGTTTACCTGCTCAGGAGTTGAACGAGTGGACCTTGGCACGACCTCTAGGATCGGGTCCAAAGACAAACCGCTTTCTGGTTCGGGGCCGGATACGATCTCTCTTCTTCGAGGGTCCAAGACGAATCGCTCAGTTCGGGGGTCCAAGACGAACCGCTCAGTTCGGGGGTCCAAGATGAACCGCTCAGTTCGGGGGTCCAAGATGAACCGCTCAGTTCGGGGGTCCAAGATGAACCGCTCAGTTCGGGGGTCCAAGATGAGCTTCTTTCTTACACAAAGGATCTTTGTGAAAAACAACAGCTCTGAGAAGATTGTTTTGACTACTCTCAGGGACATTGTGACTCCCCGCTGAAGAAAACAGCTTCTAGTTCAAAGAATATTTTCACAGGTGTCTCTGAAGGAATAATCACTTTCTGAAAACAGAACAGAGAAGTATGTTATTCACATTGTATTATTTCACGTGATTTCATTGTAATGATTGAAAATAACAATAAAAATTATTCATGTTCACACTTGTTAATCAAATAAAACAAACTTCGTTAATGAGTTGTTTTTCTTTCTTAGAAGCTTAGGAAGAAATAAGTTCAACATTAGTCAGACTGTAGCTCACTCTGTGTCCAAGGATGAGAAATGTGTAGAAAATCATCAGACCTTACTGAAGTCAGAGGAAACTTTAAAGAGCACGATTCATGGTGAGTCTGGAAGTGAATCGGGGTCAGGGGTCATAGTTAGAGCAGCGCAGCTTCATGCTGCACTCATGTAACTCTTGTCATGGATCGGTGATGTATAAACAAATTGAACGATACTCAACATGGACGTGCATCTGAGTCTGAAAGGATTTCTTGAAACAGTTTTAAAGGCATCATATTTTAAACATGGTCATCCTGAGGCTGCGGGTTCGAGCCCAGCTTGTGTGCAGCATGGAGCAGCTGAAAGAAAAACATTTGCTCAACATGATCACGTGAGTGTTGAACATTGTTGCTCACATTCAGTCCTGTTCTGTGTCACTCAGCTCTTTTGAACCAGTTTTATCAAACTTCTCAGCAGAAGAAAGCAGCAGGACTTGATTTCATTTCAACGAAGTGTCCATCTCCCTCTGCTGGTTGACACGCAGCGTCAAAACACATACGCTTCATTTCATTCACAGTTTGTCCTTAAAGTGCTCACACCCTCCATGTTCTTTGTTCTTACTGTGCATCCATCGACAGCAAAGACTTCATAACAGTTAACCTAGACAAATGTATTCAATTATATTTTAAATATTCCTGTTTTCAGCTCATTATAGTCAGAACATTGTCAGTGGTTCTGCTCTGCAGGTTGGATGTGATGATGAGGAGGAAGATACATTTTGGAAGGATCTAGATCAGGGGTCTGCAACCTGCGGCTCTGGAGCCACATGTGGCTCTTTCAAGTTTTCACCAAAACTGACATAAAACTGAATTTTATTGGTTAAAGAAACAACAAAAATGGACTTTGAGCAGTTTTCCCATCAGTTCTTTAGCTGGAACATGTACAAGGAGTAAAACACTCACTTTCACTTTATGCTTTATTTCTATACTTAATTAAATTTTCCTCAATTAAAAAGTACATAGGTCTGCATAGTTCATAGATTTATTAATTAACCCCCCCCCCCCAACACACACTCACACACACACACAAATCTGGTCTTTTCATTTGTCTTAAATTGAAAAAAAAATAAAGTATTAGATATTTTTCATATTTATAATGTCACCCCTACTGGCCACAAAAGCCCCTCCAACAAACCTAAAGTGGCCCATGGACCACCAGTTGATAATCACAGTTGTAGCAGGTTGTTGCGGCTCTGAACACGTTTAATTTAGTGAACGAAGGCTCTTTTGATTGTAGAAGTTGCAGAGTCCTGATCTGGATGAAGTGATAGAGAGTATTCCCAGGGAGGAGAGAGTGGTGATGGAGCAGACCTGAATGGACATGTTGGTGAAGGAAACAGAGGATGAGGAAGTGATGGGTACGTTTGGTGTCAAGGAAAGAAACCAGGAAGGACAGATGGTGGTGGATTTCACCAAGAGAATGGAAATGGCTGTAGTCAACACCTGTTTCCAAAAGAGGGAGGAGCCTAGAGTGACCTATAAGAGTGGAGGAAGGAGTACGCAGGTCGACTACATTCTGTGTAGAAGAGGAAACCTGAGGGAGATTGGAGACTGTAAGGTTGTGGCAGGGGAGAGCGTGGCCAGACAGCATCGGATGGTTGTGTGTAGAATGACTGTTGTTGTGAAGAAGAGAAAAAGAGTAAAATCAGAGAAGAAGACCAAATGGTGGAAGATGAAGAAGGAAGAATGTTGTGATAAATTCAGAGAGGAGCTGTTAAAGGCTCTGGGTGGTAAGAAAGAGCTTCCAGATGACTGGACTACTACAGCAACAGTAATTAGAGAGACAGGTAGGAAGGTACTTGGTGTGTCATCTGGACAGAGAATGGATGATCAGGAAACCTGGTGGTGGAATAGTGAAGTGCAGGAAGATGTTCAAAGAAAGAGGTTAGCCAAGAAGAAATATGACAGTGAGAGGACTGAAGAGAGGAGACAGGAATATAAGGAGATGGGACGTAGAGCGAAGAGGGAGGAGGCTAAGACAAAGCAGAAGGTGTGTGATGAGTTGTATGGGAGACTGGACACTAAAGAGGGAGAGAAGGACTTGAACCGATTGGAGAGACAGAGGGATCAGGCTGGAAAGGATGTGCAGCAGGTTAGGCTTGTTAAAGATTGTGAGTGAAGAGAGCGTGACGGGAAGATGGAAGGAGTACTTTGAGGAGCTAATGGGAGGAAGATCTTTCAGTTCTCAGGCTCCTCTCTTGTGGAACCAACTTCCAGTTTCTGTCCGTGAGACTGACACATTGTCCAGTTTAAGACTTTCCTTTTTGATAAATCCTATAGTTAGGGTCGGCTTGTTATGCTGCTATAGACTTGGAATGAATTGTTAAAACTGAATAGTTTTCATTTGATACTATTTCTATCTTAACATGTGATTCTTGACCTGCCATTGTGTATCTATTCCTACCAAACCCAGCCGGTCGAAGCAGATGGTCCTCTTGTCCTGATCCTGGTTCTGCTAAAGGTTTCTTCCTCATGAGGGAGTTTTTCTTTCCACTGTCGCCTTCATGCTTGTTCAAGATGAGAGTTCAGTGATGGAGTTAAACTCAAAGCTGCTCCTCAGATAAATAATGTTCAGTTATTATTTTATATTTGAATGTTTCTGTTAATTATTATTTTATACATGAATGTTTCTGTTCATTATTATTTTATACATGAATGTTTCTGTTCATTATTATTTTATACATGAATGTTTCTGTTCAATTATTATTTTATAGATTAATGTTTCTGTTAAATTATTATTTTATACATGAATGTTTCTGTTAAATTATTATTTTATACATGAATGTTTCTGTTAAATTATTATTTTATATTTGAATGTTTCTGTTCAGTCCCTGAGACGATTCTGTTGTGACTTGGATCTTTAGAAATGAACTGAATTATTATCTGTGGTGGCCATCTTGATTCAGCTGTAAACTTATATCCAACGATTACTTTCTGAGAGTTTCAGCAAAATTCTTGCACAAGTCAATGAGATATTTTGCTAACAGTCAGGCAGGGTTGGCTCAATGGATCCAAAAGAACTAGACACAAGATCTTGTGTAATGTGTAGGACTGTTATCAGCTGATTTAGCACAAAAACTGTCAAAGTACTGAATTAGAGACACATGGTAAATGGCTGTGGCAGCCATCTTAAATGAGATGTTCTCCACAGGTTCATGAGTTGTAGACGAACACGCAGTGATTAGTTCCTGACAGTTTCAATCAAATACATCCAGAGGTCTTTCAGATATTTTGCTAACAGTCAGGCAGCGTCGACTCTAAACTAGGTAATGACAAATTAAAAAAAGACCTTGCTCAATATTTTAGTGCTCAAAGGACTTCCGGGGGATTATCCTCAGCTACTACCACACCGACCCGTAGCTCATCATCCGTGTAACTCAGAGACATTTTGTGTTGCCCAACATCACTTAGCTGTGGCGGCCATCTTGAACTGATCCCACAGTTCATCAGATGAACGTCCAGTGATGCTTCCTGACAGTTTCATTAAAATGTAACCAGTCGTTCATGAAATATTTTGCTAACAGACACACACCCAGAAACAATCCCTGATCTGGACTCTGTGCGCTCTGGATCCGGAGCCTGGGTCCGGTGGTTGAGGGGTTAACTCCTCTCCAGGAGGAGGGGGCGGACCAGGAGGAGCTGGAGGAGGAGGAGGAGGAGGAGGATGGAGACGCAGGGAGGTGAGGACAGGGTCCATCAGGACCGAACCTCTCGGCTGCAGCTCTGATCCAGCAGCTTCATTACAGGGTGGCTGCAGATCCATGCCTGGTCAGAACCTTCTGGTTCGACTGACGGTACCAGACGCACGGAACCGTTCCTGAGCCTGCTTCATCTCATCTGAGGTTCGGACCGACTGGGCTCTGTTGGACTTCTGTTCCTGTTCGGAACCAGCATGGGACAAATGCTGGGCTCACTTTTTATTCTCACCAGAACCGTCATTGGGCCGTAAGGAGACCCAGAACCAGCCGGACCGTGTTTATGACGCAGCCTCGCCTGAATCAACGGAACTTCACCGAACGGTACCGGAACCATCCGGTACCGGTGCTTCTCAGCCCAGCGTCCAGGTGTGATGGTCAACCCGGAAAGGTGCTGCTTTAAAGTAACGCGAGAGTTCGGGTCACCTCCGAACCGCGAGACCCGCCGAGCAGAACCATGGACGACTCTGGGATCATCCGAAGACGGAGGCTGCAGGTGAGACCCTCTGACGTCACCTCACCTTATGTGGGAGAAATAAAACAAGTCCCAGAAGCACAGCTGGAAGCTACCATAGTTAGCCTTTAGCTTATATCTTGGTGTTATTTTTGATCAGGACGTGTCTTTTATCCCCCACATTAAAAACGTTACTAGAACCTCCTTCTTCCACCTGCGTAATATCACTAACATTAGAAACATCTGATCTAAAGATGATGCAGAAAAACTGGTCCATGCATTTGTCACGTCTAGACTGGACTATTGCAATGGTTTATTATCTGGGTGTCCAAATACTTCTTTAAAACGTCTTCAGTTGATCCAAAATGCTGCTGCCAGAGTCTTAACTGGAGTTACTGGGAGAGATCAT